TCTTCCCCGATTGCTCAGTTTGGCAGAGCGGCCAGCTCTAGGAAGAATCTTGGTGGTTTCAAACTTCTTCAATTTAAGAATGATGGAGGCCACTGTGTTCTTGGGGACCTTCAATGCTGCAAAAATTATTTGATACCCTTCTCCACATCTGTGCCTCTACACAATCCTGTTTCGGAGCTCTACTGACAATTCCTTCAACCTCATAGCTTGGTTTTTGCTCTGACATGCACTGTCAACTGTGGGACATTATATAGACAGGTGTGTGCCTTTCCAAATCATGTCCAACCAATTTCATTTACCACAGGTGGACTCCAATCAAGTTGTAGAAACATCTCAAGGACGATCAATAGAAACATGATGCACCTCAGCTCAATTTTGAGTCTCATAGCAAAGGGTCTGAATACTTATACTTACTTTCTGTTTTATTTTATTTTAATATTTTTTTTATTTAAGGGGGTAGATCAACTTTAATATTGCAGATGGATTGTAACTTCCACCAATGTAATTGTCTGCATCACTTCCAATCCCCTATATGTTTTTTTTCTTCTTTTTCTCACATATATAGTATGAAAAATGTATGCAACTCACTAACTGTAAGTCGCTCTGGATACGAGCGTCTGCTAAATGACTAAAATGTAAATGTAAATATATATATATATATACATACATACATACATACCCTTTAAAAATATATATATTTCCCTTTATTACTTTCCAACCCCACCATCCCTTCCCTAATTGGAGTAAACTAGTGAACAACAATGCTTAAGCCTCTACTTCATGCTTATACATACTACAGTGGGGAAAAAAAGTATTTAGTCAGCCACCAATTGTGCAAGTTCTCCCACTTAAAAAGATGAGAGAGGCCTGTAATTTTCATCATAGGTACACGTCAACTATGACAGACAAATTGAGAAAAAAAATTCCAGAAAATCCCATTGTAGGATTTTTAATGAATTTATTTGCAAATTATGGTGGAAAATAAGTATTTGGTCACCTACAAACAAGCAAGATTTCTGGCTCTCACAGACCTGTAACTTCTTCTTTAAGAGGCTCCTCTGTCCTCCACTCGTTACCTGTATTAATGGCACCTGTTTGAACTTGTTATCAGTATAAAAGACACCTGTCCACAACCTCAAACAGTCACACTCCAAACTCCACAATGGCCAAGACCAAAGAGCTGTCAAAGGACACCAGAAACAAAATTGTAGACTTGCACCAGGCTGGGAAGACTGAATCTGCAATAGGTAAGCAGCTTGGTTTGAAGAAATCAACTGTGGGAGAAATTATTAGGAAATGGAAGACATACAAGACCACTGATAATCTCCCTCAATCTGGGGCTCCACGCAAGATCTAACCCCGTGGGGTCAAAATGATCACAAGAACGGTGAGCAAAAATCCCAGAACCACACGGGGGGACCTAGTGAATGACCTGCAGAGAGCTGGGACCAAAGTAACAAAGCCTACCATCAGTAACACACTACGCCGCCAGGGACTTAAATCCTGCAGTGCGAGACGTGTCCCCCTGCTTAAGCCAGTACATGTCCAGGCCCGTCTGAAGTGCATTTGGATGATCCAGAAGAGGATTGGGAGAATGTCATATGGTCAGATGAAACCAAAATATAACTTTTTGGTAAAAACTAAACTCGTCATGTTTAGAGGACAAAGAATGCTGAGTTGCATCCAAAGAACACCATACCTACTGTGAAGCATGGGGGTGGAAACATCATGCTTTTGGGCTGTTTTTCTGCAAAGGGACCAGGACGACTGATCCGTGTAAAGGAAAGAATGAATGGGGCCATGTATCGTGAGATTTTGAGTGAAAACCTCCTTCCATCAGCAAGGGCATTGAAGATGAAACGTGGCTGGGTCTTTCAGCATGACAATGATCCCAAACACACCGCCCGGGCAACGAAGGAGTGGCTTCGTAAGAAGCATTTCAAGGTCCTGGAGTGGCCTAGCCAGTCTCCAGATCTCAACCCCATAGAACATCTTTGGAGGGAGTTGAAAGTCTGTGTTGCCCAGCGACAGCCCCAAAACATCACTGCTCTAGAGGAGATCTGCATGGAGGAATGGGCCAAAATACAAGCAACAGTGTGTGAAAACCTTGTGAAGACTTACAGAAAACGTTTGACCTGTGTCATTGCCAACAAAGGGTATATAACAAAGTATTGAGAAACTTTTGTTATTGACCAAATACTTATTTTCCACCATCATTTGCCAATAAATTCATAAAAAATCCTACAATGTGATTTTCTGGATTTTTTTTCTCATTTTGTCTGTCATAGTTGACGTGTACCTATGATGAAAATTACAGGCCTCTCTCATCTTTTTAAGTGGGAGAACTTGCACAATTGGTGGCTGACTAAATACTTTTTTTCCCCACTGTATATACATTTTATGGACACAGTCAATAATTATATTTTGTTTGATTTTACTCCTGAACTTCCTCCGATCATTTTCATGATGTACATCTGGTATGCTTCTATATGCTATATCTTTCTAACTGTGCTCTTTCACAAAAGCTCACAATATATAACCTATATACTTATTATGGACGCAGCATGTCTTACACTAGTTATCTTGTTGTTATTAGTTGTTGTTATTAGTCCCATCCTTCAGCTCCATTCAACACCTCCCATCTATCTCTTAACACCATCCATATTGGATTTCTATTTGCCATATATTTTTCAACTGTACTGTGATGTTTTACAAAAGTTCTGAACCTTTCTATTTTCATTGTTTCTACAGTTTGTGAATTGAAAATAAACATTTTTGCTAAAAGTATTATTATATTATTGATCGATTGACTATGACTTTTCAGATCACCCAGTAATGCTATCTGCAGGGTCAGCTCCATGCAAATATTGCAATCCTTCAGCCATTCCTGGACCTGTGTCCAGAAACAAGCTACAAATGGACAGTACCAAAACAAATGATCTAATGATTCTGTCTCTTCACAGCCAAATCTGCAGAGCTGGGAAGATTGTATCCCCCATACAAATAACATTATATTGGTACCAAGAATTGTATATAATAATTTAAATTGAAAAATCGTCGTTTTGCGTATCAGTTCATAAACACTATGCCATGGAATCGGTACGTCAAAAATCTCTTCCCAACTATTTTGCAACTATTTTTGGGTTAATCTTTGTTGTTGTTGTTAGGGGGTAGATCTGTTGTTTATTTTTAATAAATGTGCAAAAGAAATGGCTTTGTCATTATGGGGTATTGTGTGTAGATTGATGAGGATTAAAAAATATATGTAATCTATTTTAGAATAAGGCTGTAACATAACAAAATGTGGAAAAAGTCAAGAGGTCTGAGTACTTTCCGAATGCACTGTATATATGTGTGTCTGTGTCTGCAGGTGTTCTGACGAGGAGTGCTGTGAAAAAGTATTTGCCCCCTTTCTAATTTTCTCTACTTTTGCATATTTTTGATACTGAATGTTATCAGATCTTCAATCAAAACCTAATATTATATCAAGGGAACCTGAGTGAACAAATAACACAACAATGATATACTTAATTAATTTAATTAATGAACAAAGTTGTGCAACACCCAATGCCCCTGTGTTAAAAAGTAATTGCCCCCTTACACTCAATAACTGGTTGTGCCACCTTCAGCTGCAATGACTCCAACCAAACGCTTCCTGTAGTTGTTGATCAGTCTCTCACGTAGCTGTGGAGGAATTTTGGCCCACTCTTCCATGCAGAACTATTGTAACTCAGCAACATTTCTGGGTTTTCAAGCATGAACTGCTCGTTTCAACTCCTGCCACATCTTAATTGGGATTAGATCTGGACTTTGACTAGACCATTCCAAAACTTCAAATGTGTTGCTTTTTAGCCATTTTCATGTAGACTTGCTTGTGTGTTTTGGATCATTGTCTTGCTGCATAACCCAGCTGTGCTTCAGCTTCAGCTCACAAACGGATGGCCTGACATTCTCCTGTAGAATTATCTGAGACAAAGCAGAATTCATGGTTCCTGAGGTCCTGAGGTAGCAAAGCATCCCCAAACCATCACACTACCACCACCATGCTTGACCGTTGGCATGAGGTTCTTACTGTGGAATTCAATGTTTGGTTTTCGCCAGGCATAATGGGACCCATGTCGTCCAAAAAGTAATACATTTACATTACATTTTAGCAGACGCTCTTATCCAGAGCGACTTACAGTTAGTGAATACATATTTTTATTATTTTTTTATACTGGCCCCCCGTGGGAATCGAACCCACAACCCTCTATCAACTGAGCTACATCCCTGCCGGCCATTCCCTCCCCTACCCTGGACGACGCTGGGCCAATTGTGCGCCGCCCATGAGTCTCCCGGTCGCGGCCGGCTGCGACAGAGCCTGGATTCGAACCAGGATCTCTAGTAAATTGGTCATTAGCACTGTGATGCAGTGCCTTAGACCACTGCGCCACTCAGAGTACTTTTGTATATTTAGCTCAATGATTATTTAAAGAAAGCGATAATCTTGGGGGGCCCAAGAGGCAACAAATAAATAAATATAACAATAGTCATATATACTGTATATCACATTTACATAAGTATTCAGACCCTTTACGCAGTACTTTGTTGAAGCTGTTCAGGTGCCTTTTGGTCATGGACTAATATTCTATTATTAAATTGGAATATGTGTGTTAGATTATTAGACTGATAAGCGTTACACGGACCGTTAATGTGAAATTATATGATTTCCATCAAAAATAGTTTAAAAAAAACACAGAAATGCTTGTTTACAACAACAAAAAATCACATCCGGTGTAGACGCTCGATATGTAACTAATTATGGGCGGAGATACGCATGCGCAAGTGCGATTCCTTTCACAATCACTAGCTACGTCGACGTTTTTGAATCGCCATTTTAGAAAGAAGAAGAGCTGTTCGGGACAATAGCAGTCAGTTAGCTATATACTTCAACTTTTTTTTTAACGCGTAACGTTATAGTACATATTTTTTATTTTATCCAGTGATCCTACAACGCAGAAATGTCTCGGGACAGATTTAACCTCAACGTTAGAGGAAATAATCGTGGAGCTGGATTTCAACGCCGGGGAGGTGCTGGTCCTGGTGGCCCGATGCGAGGTGGAATGGGTAACCTGAATAATTTCAGACAAAACCAACACCCTTTTCAAAGAGGGCCTCATCCCGGTAACTTTGGAAAACCACCCAACCAGATACCTCAGATAACCCCTCAGAAGCCACTGCCACCAACTCTTTCCCAGCCAGGCGCTCAAGCGATTCGGCCACCACCTACTCCTGGCCCTGCGTTAACCATGAAGGGCCCCGTACAGCAACAGCAGGCCGCTGCGGTAGCAGCTCCGGCGGCCGCAGCAGCAACTCCAGTGGCCGCACCTCCGGCGGCTGCAGCAACAGCGCCCGCGGCTCAACCAAAAATTCAGTCCCCACCTCCGAAGCCTGTTCCTCCGAAACCCACACTCTCATCTCCCCCACCAAACCAAATTAAGAAACCCGCACTCTCATCTCCCCCACCAAACCAAATTAATAGGAACCAGCAAAGACCAGGACCCGGCAACGCCAATGGAAATGGGCCTAAATCTGCACCCGCGATCAAAAAACCTGAACCTCAAACGCAGAAGAATACTTCAATTGAGACCGAGGAAGCCCAGCCTCCCAATGTGAGTAACGACGTTAGCCAGCCATGCTAGCGAACATTACGTAATTCGTATGTTAGCTAGTTACTTAGAGTAACCTGTATTTTAGCAATCTAACGTCAGATATGCAGATGTGTTATGTGAAATAAAAGTAGGCCATGGCATTGAGCTAGTTAAGCGTTCCATTCCGTTGTTGCGGAGTTAGCCAACTAGCTTTGCCAGCTAAGGTAACTAGCTACGTTAGTTGACTACATGGGAGACACGTCGGCCATTTTGTGAGAATCGGGTACATTTCGACAATGTTACTGAAAGCGGATTACTAGAGATGCATCCACACTACGTAGGTAAAAGCGCTTGGAAGAAAGCCACTGTGAGAAGACACATTTAAAATCTTTGACGCCTTTTTACCGGGGGGGGGGGGGTTGTTTGAAAAAAAATCTAACACCAGGTGGGAAAGAAACAAGGCAATGAGACATTCAGAAACATGACTTCTAATAAGTTTTCCTGATTTTTACGTTTCACAAGTTTGAGGGATTTATAAAGTTGTAGCAGTTCAATGAGGGAAAATTTTTTACATTATTTTCCAAGCCCATTTTCATTTGTTAATATAATATTTGGCCAGGAGAATAATAATGTTAATAAAATAGTTGTGATCGGAATTACAAGGATAAGTATAATGCCATTTAACATCAAAGGTAAACCTAGGTAATTTTTTTGAATTTATATTTGACCATACATGAATTTCAAGACATAGTTTACTAGAATGGTGGCATAAATAAATGCTCTATAGATTGAGATGAGCGAAAAACACAAGGCATTTGTCAAAATTGAACCGTTTGTGCAAGAAATCACTAAAAGGGCAGATGGAAGAAAATATGTTAAAATTGAGCGCTTTTAACTTTTGGGTTAACAGGACAATTAAGGTAAAAGGTAGTCGCTTTTGACCAAAGCATGGGTTGGTCACTTCCATTGCAAAATATCGAATTATAATCACAAATTATATCATTAAAACCAATCGTATCCACACATTGTTACATTTTTAAAAATCCAAAATGTTCAGGTCATTCATTTGAAGTGGGAACAACCTCGTAATATAAGTGTTCTTAATCCAAGTCCAAGTATAGGAAGTGGAATTGCTTTGCAAACCTTTTTTTTGTTCTCTCAGTACTATTTACCTGAAATGTACCAGTTAACTCATCAAATGGCAATCGCTCCAGTGTTGTCTAACAAATCACATACAAAACGAATGCCCTTGTCAAACCAAAGGCCTTTTAACATTTTACATTAAAAAAAAATAATTTAATAAACCTAACACTACTTTTCGAGGTTCAAGATCACACTTCATTAAGAATTCAAGTCCACCAAATGTATTAAACAGACTTACCTACCTCTTTAAGGAATACCTGGAATAGTATAAAGTAATCCTTCTACCCACCCCCAGTAAAAAAAAATAGTTATTGTCCCACTGAGCGCACGAATTTGTAAGTTGCTCTGGATAAGAGCATCTGCTAAATGATGTAAATTTAGGGATATGATGCCATGTAGCGGTAGGATTAGATTAACATAATTTTAACAATTTAATCTTAAAATTACACACTAACAACTGTCAATAGCCTATAAACCTCCATGATCATAGTCTTTCACTAATTGAGGTTTCTGAAAATATAATGCGTTTTATTCCTTCAAATAAATCTAAATGTCACAGAATTGACCTTTTTGATGTTATTAGAAGAAGAAAAAGGGGACTGACTTGGGTAAATTATTCTAGTTAAACTATCAGTCTTGGGCAAAAGAATATGACCCAACGTTGAGATCACGTTGGAGCAATGACTTAAAGAAACTCTTATGGAATTATTGATACTATCAATGTTTAAAGATTCTCTATCAATATCGTTTTTAGTGATAACAATTCCTAAATATTTACTGTACTTTTTAACAGGTATGGAGGCAATGTTGACAGTCACAGCAATGAATTGACATGAGATCGCATTTGATAAGGTTGTGAGTCAACCCAGAGGCCATAGAAAGTTTATTGATTCTGTCAATAGCCAAGGGAATAGCCACCCTATCCTTTAGGAAAGGGGCATTATCATCTGCATATTGACTGATATTTATATCTTTACCAAAAACACGGATCCATTTGAGAATTCTCAGATTTGTTAAGAAATAAGGCAAATAAATGTGACTAAAATAAATGAGGGGAGATTGGACAACCCTGTCTAATTCCTCTAGCAATTTAGAAACTAAGGTATGTTCCATTACTCATAGCCACCAAACTGCTATTATCATTATACATCATCCTTATCACTTTGCATGAATTCTCCCCAAACCCAAAAGTAGAGTTCTAAATAAAAAGTTGTTCTATAAAGTATCAAAAGCCTTTAAAAAAAATCTAAAAACAATATAACACCTTCTATAAACTCACTGTAATCTAAAATATCTAAACCCAATTGTATATTGTTATGAATACTCCTTCCTTTAACGAAGATTGTTTTAAGTTTCACGGATTATATCAAGGCCTTTTTTCATCCTATTAGCATAAACATGGGCTAGTAACTTATAGTCCGTTGCCAACAACGTCATTGGTCTCAAATTGTCCAAGTAAAGAGTCCTCCTTTGGTTTGGGTGTTAGAACCATTTGTCCCGGTCTCAAATGATGTAAGATGGCATTAGCAATACCCTCTTTGTAGACCAAAAGCAATAATTCTCTATTAAGCCAAAAATGTTGTTAAAATTCAGGAGTCAGGCCATCTGGTCCAGGAGATTTACCTGTAGGCATTTGTTTAATGGCTTGTTCCAACTCCGTAATATCTATAATGAACAAAAATATAAACGCAACATGTAAAGTCACTACAGGTTCGATTCCAGGCAGTATCACAATCCGGCCGTGATTGGAAATCCCATAGGGCGGCGCACATTTGGCCCAGCGTCGTCCGGGTTTGGCCGGGGTAGGCCGTCGTTGTAAATAAGAATTTGTTCTTAATCGACTTGCCTAGTTAAATAAAGGTTAATCAATAAAATAAAATACATCATTACACAGGTGCACCTTGTGCTGGGGACAATGAAAGGCCACTCTAAAATGTGCAGTTTTGTCACAACACAATGCCACATATGTCTCAAGTTTTGAGGCAGCAAATAGATGTTAGAATAATGTTTCTTGACATATATTATAAACATAAATATTTACCAATATGTAATGTGACCCTTTATATTCCAAAACAACAGTTGTCCAGTGACCCTCATCACACTTGCATTCTAAAACTGTACCTGGAAAACGTCTGAAAAGTATTGCCACACCAGCAGAATGAGATGAGCCATGGCTAAGAATGATCTTGTCACCCCATTGTGAAGTCCAAAATGTTAAGTCAACATCTGTGGAATGCGTCTGAGTAAAAATACTGACTTTACTGAATCTTTACAGAAAATAAAAACAGCCTTGCGTTTTACATTGTTGCGTAAACCCCTGGTGTTCAAGGATAAAAAGGAAAGAGAAATGTTCAATGAGAAGAGTATATGAGAAAGTTGTCTAGAATTAACAGGGACCCTGAATAATATAAAGTAGCATAAGCCCTACAAAATTAACTTGACAAACGGTCACGTCCATATAAAGGAAAATAAATGGATAGTTTGTGTAATAACACATCTTATATTCATAGTTTACATCTTCAATTGAATTCTCAAACTTAAAATAAATAAAACTCTGAAGTCTAATCAAGCCATATGAAAAAACGGTGTTTACGGTAGTTAATGTTTACAGGCAGAACTTGCCACAACAAATAATTTGGCCCTAAGCAATATCAATAGGTAGAAGAGCATCAATCAGTCAGTCACATAGCTCCACCCTGCAGCCGTCATTGACAGCAAACCCCTCGCGAAAGAAACCTTTTATTCCCCTGCATCTTGCCTCATCGACCTGTGGCCACAGCTTCGCACAGGCATCCCTGTCGCGCTTGGTCAAATCTTCTGCAAAGCTAATGCCTTTCTCCCTGCAGATCGGTGCCAGCTTCGCAGCTCTCCACACCTCGTCTCTCACGTTCAGTCTCCGCCCCCATCGGCGCTTGTATTGGGCCTGTTCAGCACGGACAGCTCCTCGTTTTCTTTTGTCAGGGCATCAACTTTAGTTTTCAACAGTTTCACGTCAGTAGTGATATCCTTAATGCCTGTTGAATTAAACTCTAGTTTTGGAAACGTTTGCAATTGAGAGGGTATTTTTATGAATCCTCTCATCAAAGCTATTCAGCCGACTAGCTTGCTAGTCAAATGTCTTGTTTAAACCCTGGATTGTTGCTAAGATTGCTTCATTGGTGATAGGCTGTGGTGGTTGAGTCTGCCCGGCGTCACTTTCTGGTAGTCTCTTCAGGTTGGGGGGTTTCGAAGGGGTTATTTGAACACCTGTACCAAAGACTAATTCCTCCGAACTCGGTACCGTTTCTTCTGGGGGAGTGTCAAAATCCTGCATATAGTCTACGGTATCCACCTCGGTTACGACCTCAATGTTTGCTAGTTTAATCTCAGATAACATTACTAGTAAATACTGATTTCTTGCTAGCTAGCCTTGGCTGAACTTGCTTGTAGTATAATGAAGTGGAAAAGTGATGTTCGATAAACCACCAAACGAATTGAAAGAAAAATAGAGTAAGCAACGTCATTTCAACTGTGTTCGTCGTCAAACTCAAATTAGAGCTTGAATTCAATTTAAGGTTTTCAGGACAGCCGTTTTTTGCGACTGGGTGGGGTTGTTAAAGCGATTGAGTAACATGCATGGACTAAAGACATCGTTTTTTGTTTACTGTACTTGTAATAATGTTAACCATAGTTATGTTCTAGTAACAGAATATCATGGGCATTTGTCAGGCTATAACATTTTAGGATTGGAATCTGAACTGAACGTTGTATCTGTCTGTAGGAGTTGAGAGCGACACTGTCCTCGCTGCGCAGACCTGGCGAGAAGACATACACTCAACGATGCCGCCTTTTCATTGGAAACCTTCCCAACGATATCTCAGATGACACATTCAAGAAGCTGTTTGCGAAGTATGGCGAGCCAAGTGAGATTTTCATCAACAAAAACAAAGGCTTTGGCTTCATACGCCTCGTAAGTACACCACACTGTAGTTAACATAAACACTGACCTTTTGGTAGTTAGCTCTACCATAAACATTGACCTTTTGGTAGTTAGCTCTACCATAAACATTGTCCTTTTTGGTGGTTAGTGCCTTATTAGGCGTTTAATTTTAACAACTAGATTTCTACCATTCCAGGAATCCCGTGCATTGGCTGAGATAGCTAAAGCTGAACTGGATGATGTGCCCATGAAAGGCAGACCGCTTCGGGTGCGCTTTGCAACTCACTCAGCTGCACTGTCTGTGAAGAACTTGTCACCTTTTGTTTCCAATGAGCTACTGGAGGAGGCCTTCTCCCAGTTTGGAGTGGTAGAGAGGGCTGTGGTAATTGTAGATGATCGCGGGCGCTCCACTGGCAAGGGCATTGTTGAATTTGCATCTAAACCTGCTGCACGAAAGGCCCTGGATCGTTGCAATGATGGAGTTTTCTTGCTCACCACGTAAGTGATTTACATTTATTTGGCACCATTCAGTAGAACATGAAATGCAGATGGAGCTTTCTCCTAATGGCTCACGTGCTGTTAGGCTGTAATTCATTGATACTCTTGATGTCTTAGGTCACCTCGTCCAATCGTCGTTGAGCCCCTTGAACAATACGATGATGAGGATGGTCTACCAGAGAAACTGGCACAGAAGAACCACAACTATCATACGTAACCCTCACTTCATATAACTAAATAGCTTTAATTCAATCGCATGTCTTTTTGTACTATATTGGTGTGCTTATTTTGTTTTCTTATTACCCCTACCCACAGCACTCCTTTGTGATGTTATGTTCATATTGAGGTGTGAAGTGAAAATGTAGCTGTTGTAGCCAGGTTATGCCCAGTGGACCATGTCATGAAAATTACACTGCTAACACCATCAGTCCCAAGATCCCCAAAAAAATCTACCTTTCATTTATCTGCATTTATATCTAGCCTTACAATGAAGTGTTTGACCATATTCTTTTCAGAACATTTATATGAATGCTCTAAGTACACATTGTTTCCTGACTGGGAAACTAATATCCAACTAGTCGGTGACAACTGTTTGGCATTTGTGACATCCACTATATGAGCTTATACAGTGCATTCGGAAAGTATTCAGACCCCTTGACTTTTTCCACATTTTATAATAATAATAATAGTATGCCATTTAGCAGATGCTTTTATCCAAAGCGACTTACAGTCATGTGCGCATACATTTTTACGTATGGGTGGTCCCGGGGATCGAACCCACTACCCTGGCGTTACAAGCGCCATGCTCTACCAATTGAGCTACAGAGGACCACATTTTGTTATGTAACAGCCTTATTCTAAAATGGATGACATTATTTTTTTCTCACCAATCTAAACAATATACCCCATAATGACAAAGCCAAAACAGGTTTTTAGACATTTTAGAAAATGTATATAAACAATTAAAAAAACAATACCTTATTTACATAAGTATTCAGGCCCTTTGCTATGAGACTCGAAATTGAGCTCAGGTGCATCCTGTTTCCATTGATTGTCTTGATGTTTCTACAACTTCATTGGAGTCCACCTGTGGTAAATTCAATTGATTGGACATGAAAGGCACACACCTGTCTAAGGTCCTACAGTGCATGTCAATGCAAAACCCAAGCCATGAGGTCAAAGGAATTGTCCGTAGAGCTCCGAGACAGGATTGTGTTGAGGCACAGATCTGGGGAACGGTACCAAAAAAATTCTGCAGCATTGAAAGTCCCCAAGAACACAGTGGCCTCCATCATTCTTAAATGGAAGAAGTTTGGAACCACGAACACTCTTCCTAGAGCTGGCCGCCCGGCCAAACTAAGCACTCGGGGGAGAAGGGCCTTGGTCAGGGAGGTGGCCAAGAACCCAATGGTCACTCTGCCAGAGTTCCTCTATGGAGATGGGAGAACCTTCCAGAAGAACAACCATCTCTGCAGGCCTTTATGGTAGAGTGGCCAGACGGAAGCCACTCCTAAGTAAAAGGCACATGACAGCCCGCTTGGAGTTTGCCAAAAGGCACCTAAAGACTCTCAGACCATGAGAAACAAGATCCTCTGTTATGATTGAACTCGTTGGCCTGAATGCCAAGCGTCACGTCTGGAGGAAACCTGGCACCATCCCTGCGGTGAAGCGTGGTGGCAGCATCATGCTGTGGGGATGTTTTTCAGGGACTGGTTGGGAACGAGGGAAAGATGAACGGAGCAAAGTACAGAGATCCTTGATGTAACTTCTACAGAGCACTCAGGACCTCTGAATGTCCTTGAGTGGCCCAGCCAGAGCCCGGACTTGAACCCGATCGAACAGCTCTGGAGAGACCTGAAAATAGCTGTGCAGCGACGCTCCCCATCCAACCTGACAGAGCTTGAGAGGATCTACAGAGAAGAATGGGAGAAACTCTCCAAATACAGGTGTGCCAAGCTTGTAACTTCATACCCAAGAAGACTCAATGCTGTAATCGCTGCCAAAGGTGCTTCAACAAAGTACTGAGTAAAGGGTCTGAATACTTACGTAAATGTGATATTTCAGGTTTTTTATTTGTAATAAATTAGCAAACATTTTCAAAACCTGTTTTTGCTTTGTCATTATGGGGTATTGTGTGTAGATTGACGAGGAGATAAAAACAATTGAATCAACTTTAGAATAAGGCTGTAGCGTAACAATGTTGAAAAAGTGAAGGGGTCTGAATACTTTCTGAATGCACTGTGTATAATGGACACAATGTCTTCCAAATGTAAAAAAAAAAACGTACCTTCTAACGACTCTTATGTAGCTTATGAGCGTCATAGAGCAAAACGTGTTACATGTTCGTGAGAGTCTCCGCTTTTCATTGATGACTTTTAATAGTTTTTATAAAAGACCCGGCCTGGGCCTCTGAGATCCGCCCTTGTCTCACAAACACCGCTCTAGCTCAGCCCCCGTTAATCACACAGACTGATGGCTGGTATCTATGGTTGCAGAAGAAATGGAAGAATCCAAAAGTCTGCAGGTCAAACACAATGTTTAAAAGGGAAGTTAGAAGTCAAAACGCGCCTGCGTTACGGTGGGACTCATTGGGCTAAAGTCACTGGGTGGTGTTTACCAGAGGTCGGGGTTGGGTTAGCAGATACCACAGCTGTTAAAAACCCATTGCGGTTGTTTTTCAGATAACATGATTAACCCTCGAGTACCCCTTTTTGTTCTATGTCTTGGTTACAACTTGGTTTCTATTCTAACACTTATGTGCCTGCAGGGAGCGGGAGGAGCCACCCAGGTTTGCCCGTCCTGGCACGTTTGAGTTTGAATACTCTAAGCGTTGGAAGTCCCTGGACGACATGGAGAAGCAGCAACGCCAGCAGGTGGAGAAGAACATCCGTGAAGCCCGAGAGAAACTGGAGGGAGAGATGGACGATGCTTTCCATGTGCACCAGGCCAACATGATCCGCCAAGGCAAGTTTCGCTGGACAGAGACAACCACTTCTCAAAATGGAAGACTAGTTAGATGTAGAAGTGTCTTACATGCATGTTCTTACACTGTTTAGATCTGCTGAGGCGTGAGGAGGAGCTACGACGCATGGAGGAGATGCACAGTGCAGAGATGCAGAAGAGGAAAGAGATGCAGCTCAGGTATTTAAACTTGGTTGAATAACTGTTTAACACACTTCATTTATTGGAGTGTTACTAAAACGTGGCAGTGTGCATAACAGGCAGGAGGAGGAGCGTCGCATACGTGAGGAGGAGATGCTCCGCCAGAGGGAGATTGAGGAGCAAATGCGCCGCAAGCGTGAGGAGGCCTACAGAAGTGGCAACTTCATGGACAATGTAAGCTGAGCACAGTACCATACCACCATTCAGACCTTGACATTTGCATTTGAGGTATATGCATGTTCTTACTGTTTTGATTTCACAGAGGGATATGAGAATGACTGGTGGCGCCATGGGCCTGGCTGGTGAGTAGTACATCCTTAAACATATTTTTTATGGGGGGGAAATGTCTTATTTTCAGCTTACACCAGAATTGTTTTGAAACAAGAATATGAAGTTTGAGACTGATTTATATAAGTATATGACAACTTTGCCCCCTAAGGGCTGCCATGACTCTCATTATAATGTGTGACATGTAGTCCTGTTGTCCCTACTAGACAGTCAATTTGGCTCACCCAACCAGAAGTTCCCCATGGGACACCAAGGCATGGCGGGACCTAACGCTGGGGGAGCCATGATGCCCAATGAAATGGTAATGTATTCCAAATGGAGAGGAACACTAATAGGGCTCAGTTGGGGGTGGGTTTCTCCATTGGTTGCTGTAGTTGTCATCTGGGAGAGTGAAGTGGATGGTTTTTCTCCGGTCAGCACAGTTTGGAAGCGTATGACAGAGAAAATGAAGCGCTGGTGCTGCCACCGTCTTCGTAGGCGTCTGTGCCATGTCGAGATAAAATTTGTGCTCAACAGTTTTCAGCAACAGCATGTCCCCTCAGTTCCTCCACTATTACAGCCTGTATTTCAGCTGAAAATAATGAACCTGTACTAAACCCAGTGAATTGCTTTCTCAAAGCTCCTACTTTGTGGAATAGACCTATTGCAAGCCCTGTCTTGTGTGAGCCAGACAGGCACATTTTCTTGGCATGTGGAAAGATGTCACCTGGCAGCATTTTTATTTGGTGGAGAACCTTTTTAGTTGAAGCACTTTCCCATACTGTCATTGAACTTCATATGATCACATGAAATGGCACAGATGGTGTCTCCGTGTAACCTGGAAATATTTTTAGTTGAGTGTGAAAAGTGCATTTCCTGCGATGTTCACTTGTGGCATGGCAGTTGTTGTAACATTTCCCCAGCCACCACCTTGTCCAAGCAATTCAAATGAGGGGTATTAGTGCAGGTTGCTTTTTGAAGCAAACATGTCTCTTGACATAACATTAAGCTAATGAGTAAGCTCCTTAGTGCAACTTGCATAACACAAGATGAAGAACTGAGGGTGACGGGCATTGCCCTGGGACTGCTTGCTTGGATACCTGTACTATTTGTACGCTGTGGGTGAAATCATCTAATTAAAAAATGCCCAGAATGTTAAGTAATCTGCATTAGGCCTATGGCAGGCAGGTGTGTTAATGTATGTGTTATAGGCTACATACAATTAATAAGTTGACCAGTTAGATTTCTGGTAACTTACTTAGAAATGGCCTGATGCAAAGCTGTTAAAGTCCATAAAAATTGATACAGCTTGTGCTTCGCATGAGTTAAGTTTTTATACTGTCAAGGATATATCAATTCATGTAATGGAACACAGCCGCTTTGACGTAAGGGTGGCAAACAATCGGACAGGAAAACACAGCTGATCGGCTGCTTTTGCAATGGGTGAGCAGTTGTTGGTATTCGATACTGAATTGTACAGTTCGACGACGTAGCTGGTGTATTTCTTACTGATAGCACCACATCCGTTTTTCTGTTCTTCACTGCAAGCAATGCAATATGAACCCAACTTTTAGTGCAGTGATCGCAGAGACCCTCTCTTACCCAGAATGTAAGATGGCTAGTAGACATGTTACTGGCTAGACTAGCTGGTCTTGCCGCTACACACATGGACGCTATGACAAATCAGGATCCATTTAGTCAAGTTGACAGTAGAACTACCATTAATCGGCCAAGCATTTAAGTTTAATTTAAACAAGTGTTCTGAAAATGACTGGGGGGGGGGACTCTGTCTACAAATTTGTAGACCACCTTAAAGGAAATCTCAATGTATGTAAATGGCATGTTCTAGAAGGGTCTAGACAAAAACATTTTGTACAGTATATACAGCTTTTTTTTATTTACCCCAGCTGCGATACACTATCTTATTGCTCGTTGTGCCATATCGGGGGACACAAAAGACAATAACAAAAGCACCCAAATGTTTTTTAAGAAATGGGCAGGCCCTCAGTGTTGTTATGTAGGTCTTTAGATGTACACATGAAATTGTGTCATTCCAAACTTTTTTCGTAACATTATAATCAAGGGTTTGAACCGGTTCAGGGAACAGAACCGAAAACCAGAAAATAAAAGTATTTGAAGAACAGAATGCAAACTGGAACCGAAAGTGATCTATACTGTTCCGGAACAGAACCGTTATTTTAAACGCGTGGGAACCGGTTAATAACCATTTTTTTGTTCCGGGTATATCTTTTTTTCAGTCCCACAAAGATTGGAACCAATCTCCTATGCAAAGCCGTCACTCAAACTTATTCCAGCATCTGCCTGCCAACTGGATATCTTTGCCAGGGGTGTGTGTGTGTAGGCTACTTGCCCCTTCACTCTGAAGCATAGGTTAGTTACTGTAGCCTACTGACGATGTTACAAGCATGATTCGGGAAATTAGGGAGAGATGTTTAAAAGAATGGATTAACCTTTTTCAATGCTCGTTAAGGATACTATACTTATCACATTTCACATTTGTTTTATTAAAGCTGCGGTATGTAACTTTTTGGGTGACATGGCCAAATTCACAAATGTGTGTTATAGATCTGTCATTCTCATTGAACACATGTCTAAGAAGCGGTAGATCTGTTCTATGTGCACTTTCTATGCTTCTCGTTAAGTTTTGTTTTTGCGTCTTTTACTTTCGGTTTTGTACACGAGTTTCAAACAACTGAAAATACAATATTTTTGGTTATGGAAAATATATTTCACAGCGGTTTAGATGGTACAATGATTATCTACACTATACTTGCTTGTTTTGTCACAAACTGAAATTAGGCGAACTATTAGAATTTTAGCAACCAGGAAATGGTTGAGTGATTTCTGCATAGTGCATCTTTAACTACAAAATTGTAAGACGTGTTTTATTTTCTAGTACTGCACACACAAGCTTGCTAGCTGACGTTTGCTTTGGTCCAACGTTATACCAACGCAGAAGTTCAAAGACATGCATAGTCCCTCCATAGAATCCGCTCCTCTGTAGGTATAATTCTGTGGGCCTAATTCAGATAATGCATGTGATAAAATGCCCAGCGCTTCAAGACAAACTTCCTCATACTCTCTCGCTTTCTCATTTAAATTGCATCTGACGCCCAACACTGTGACTGGTAGCACAGTGTGTTTCTTTCATTATGATTAAACCATGCTGTTACGGCAAAATACAATTTGCTCTTAACCACTTTACTATACAGATTAAATCGCTTACCTGTTCAATAGCAAGCTGCTCTATCTGCACTGATTTTGAAGTAATTTGTCATGCTAAATGTAAAACATTTCAGGGGATTAACCAGTTAAATGTAATCTACGTAATCCCCAGAAGTAATTATTTATCCTGAGGGCCATCAACAATAATTAGTAATGCTAAGGTTAAAATTTCACCTTTCTTTTAAAAATGTTTGTAAATTGCAGAGGTGTAGTCACTTTTGAGGACAAGCTCAAGGACACAGTACAAATATGATAAAAATATGAAATATTGATGCATTTCTTATTCAACAAAACTATGAATAAGGCTTGAAATGACACATGCTTTCTTAATATAGTATAATCAAAATTATAAAACTACTAAGATTTCACCTTCCTTATAACTGTAACATTTTCATATTTTCTAAAGGTCTCTCTAGATAAAAATGTTTGCCCCTATGGCTGTGAACGTCTAACAGAGCTCTAGCTTGGCTTTGTGAACTTGTTAGGAACTCACCTTTCATCGCATCTTGTCCGTCAATGACAGTGTTTTTGTTTAAAATCGCTGTTATTTTAGATAAATGGCTAATCGATCTCAATGTGCTACCGTGATCAAACCAAGCTCTCCTGCTGCGCTATGATGTGGCTATGACGTAGGGTTCAGCCAGGAGTTGATGGACAGTCGGAAGAGCGAATGAAATGGTAGGAGGGACATCCCAGCTTCAAGTGGTTTCAGATTTCACATAAGTCACACAGGCTCAGAAAATATACTCTGTCCGTGAGAACGAGGGTTATTGCTCAATGCAAGCTATTTCGATCTATGGTGTCCACAGATCGATTTTATAAGCTAAAATGTTAAGCTAAAATGTTGGTCAGTACCCCATATGTAACTCTGTGTTGTTTTTTATTGCACTACTTTGCTTTATCTTGGCCAGGTCGCAGTTGTAAATGAGAACCTGTTCTCAACTGGCTTACCTGGTTAAATAAAGGTGAAATAAATAAAATAAAATAAAAAGTACCAGAACCACGCAGGTCCCCTAAACCGGGGAATTTTGCGTCTAAAATGTTTTAAAAAGGAACAAAAAATAACAATATAAACCTGCAATTTGTTTATGATTAGAACTGGTTCAGAACTTCTTTTGCTGGTCGGAACAGTGGAACGTAACGGGAAAATAATTGTTCAGTTCAGAACGAAACGATTGGAATGTAATTTGGATTCCAACCCATGGTTTACATCCATTCTGGACGACTCGCGCTGTTTCCCCCGCACAGCTGTGCAGGCCGAGCGTGTCCCTATAATACACGGACACCCAGACCGCGCAGCACAGCAGGTAGAAGAAACGTCTTGAGTTGAAAAAAATGGAATGTAACGTTGCAGATAAAGTTTGGAATGACACAGTCATGTGAACAACATCTGAAGACCTACATCCCTATACTTGGAGCGTGTCTGTTTCTAAAAGGACATATTTGGGTGATTGTTTTTGTTACTTTTGTTCATGTCTTTTGCATGCCCTGAGACTGCACAACGAGCAATGACGAAGTGAATTGCGGCTGCTGCAATTTTCTCAAAAACAAGCCAAATCACTAAAGTGTGTAGACCCTTCTATAACATGCTATTTACATCAAAAATTGAGAACACTTCAGAAATGAGAATTCTCCTATTAAAAACCATACGATTGTATTGTGCAGGAGCAGGGTGACTATTTGTGTGCATATAAAATGAACCATGGTCTTTTTCGTCCTGGAACTTGTGTAGACAATCAGGATTTGCCACAACCGTTGTGGAACTTCAGTGCAAAGTTGAGTGTTAACCAGTATGGACCTCCTCATTCGCCCAACTGCCGTCATATTAACAAATATGTGACGCATAGTAAATTGTAGTAGGTTTGGTTGGCGAAATGGCACTAAAGCATAGACCAACCAAATAACATGGCAGGATTAGGCCAATGAACATCTATTTGAATTAGGCCTAGCCTATGGTGAGCCAGTAGACTCAGACTTGGAGTGTAATGTGAAATTCATTCCCCCCTTAAGTTGTTCAGCGTTTTACTAAGGCCATGAAAGTTTCAAGTGTAACAACTGGGCTAGACTTCATGTAGGCTCATTGATTAAAATCATATTTTTCAAATGTTTTATTGCCATTTGAAAGGTCAGCAATACTGTAGTTGTGCAGTATTGCTTGTGTAATTAAGCAATAGAGGCAAGACGAGCAACAATGGGGTTACAGCTATATTGGAAAATAGGGCTGATATAGGCTCCTTTTTTTAAAGTGTTTAAGAAAGTGGAAGTGGAGCGCTGAAGTGCATTTATCAACTGGCCAGTCTGGCCTACCTGTAAGTTTTGGCATTAAACTTAACCTTTTGTGCCTTTGGGCCATAGCAAACCGGCGGTCTTCCCCTAAATGCTCCACATGATGCCAGTAGTGAGTGATGTAGCCCAGCCTTTGGCATGCACAGCAAACTACGGTAGGACATAACTAACGAAAACATTACCCTTTCTTCCTTCTCCGTATGTTACCTGTGGCACCTGTGGATCTGCGTATTGGAACTATTTCAACGAACGTTTCCCTTGGACATGTCTCCTGCTGTTTATTTTGTCATGGCTCTCAAACAAAACCAACTCTCTCTCTACCCCCTCTTACCTCTCCCCTGAATATGGACTTGAACTGCGTGCCATCGCACTGCCCTCTCCAATCTGCCTCCTTGGTATGGTTGTTGATCCCTATAGCGCAATGAGAGAAACTTCCCTCAGGGAGGCCGGGGGGGAATGGGTCCTACCAACCCAGGGTTTGGCAGGGTCCGGGAGGAGTTTGAAGGGCCTGCCAAGAAGCCCCGCTTTTAAATCTGTTCAGTGTCACTCATAGCAGCGTTTTTGTGTAGCTTCTCTGAACATCTTCACATTGAGTCATTGTTGTATTTAAGTTGAAAGTGTTCTTGCATTTTAGCCTGAAGACTCATTCATTTTATGGCAAGTTAGGTTTTTTCTTTTTGATTTTGTATTTGGAGTAGTGTGAAATTGATAAATTGGTCACCCTCAGTGATCACATAGCGCTATCCCACCTATGTATAACTTTCTTTCCAGTTGTATCGTGCTCTGTGACTCGTGTCGTAAATGGTGATAAATGTAAAAATTTCTCACCTTTCTATGGCTGTGTTTTGTGCCATTTAAGATTTGAACTAAAAAACATGTAACTTTACAATAAAGACCTCATTTGGTTCTTTCCAAACCTTCTTAAAGTTTATTTTAACCCTATTTTGAGTTATCCTAAATAAGCCCAGCAAGAGTTGACGAGCATTTTGTCCTAGTGATCATCTGTTAAATTGATCAATTATTGTCATATATATATTATATAGCATAACCTGGCTTTATGTTGGACGCCGGGGGTGAACAGCAACTTTATAATGTAAATGATCACCATGTGAACTAAATGGAACAACATATGCATACTGGGACAGTATTGATAAAGCAAAGAAAGTTGACATTTTAGAGCACAATTAGGCCTAGTAGAAATGGTACTTGTGGGGCCCAATTTTGACAACGGAAATAAGCAGTGCTGGTGTCAAACGCGACTAATGCTTCTTGAAGTGTTTGCTTATAAAAATTAAGGATTTTGTAATGCCCTTGGAAAGTCGCAGTTAAAATGCACTTTTCGGTGCAGATACTTCAGTGCAATTTTGCGACTTTTCATAAACAATTGGTTTTAAAGTATGACTATTTGTCTAGCCCTAATTGAAGTGATATGGTTTTTGACAACGGTGCTGTTTTTTTTTTCATTGACAAAAAGGGAGTATGTTGGACTCGTGTATTGTTCCCAAGTCGGCTACATATTATTGAACAGAGGTCGAAAGTCCTCTCTGATCACATTTAACGTCTCAAAGCAGCGCTTTATTCATCACGGTCTCTTGACATTGCATAATGCAACATGTTTCATTGGAATGTATGTATCATACACGGGAATGTATGAAAACGATCTAAGAATGTTACCCTAAATAATTCCAGTTCAAGCCACTGTCTGACAGATATTTTTAGGTCATAATTCAAATGGCCATGTTATTACGAGAAACGGCAACTGTGAGGGAAACAGTAGCATGTGATTTTACCCTTCAAGCTATCGTAGAACTTTTCAGCCATCCACTTTGTACATTTTATTTATGGATCCTTCCCTGAATGTCTTTAGTCTCTTTCATAGCCTTAGCTCTGATAAACCAACAGTGATGTGAACTGATTCATTCCAGTGAGTACCACTGTCACTTTGAAGTTTCACATGAACAGATTGAACAACTAAGTCTGAAACCATCATTGAAGCATTAAAGGGATAGTTTGGGGATTTGGCAATGAAACCCTTTATCTACTTTCCCAGAGTCTGATTAATTTATGCCTACCACTTTTTATGTCCATGAAGAACAAAGTTAGAGGTAGTTTTGCGAGCTAGTGTTAGCTTAGTGCATAGACGAAGTTTTGAGGATGTTAGCTATACCTGAACTTCTAGTCCTTGCGCTAAGCTAGTTAGCGTTAGCTCGCAAAACTACCTCTAACTTTCTTCATACTGGATGCAGAGACATAAAATGGTAGCCACAAGTTTATCTGACTCTGGGAAAGTAGATGAAGGGCTTGCTTGCTAAAACCCCAAGTTATCCCTTTAAGGATTAGGGCACATTGGTTAAAAACTGTCAATGTTATCTTTCACGCATTTATGAAGATGTTGAGATATGAAAAGGCCAGCCCTTTGCAACACATTTTCTTGATTTTTAAGACTGCTCGATTAGACCTCTAAATCTGTTTTCCAAGTGAGACTTAAAGGCGAAGCACACCAAAGGGTGGAAATGTCAGTGATGTAAAAAAATAAAATAAACAAACATCATAAATATATCATTACCTAGAAAGCTCCAGAGAATTGAGAACATTTTCCCTGTAGGAATTTATTTATTTATTGAAGATCAAACTTGTGCTCCTACGAGTTGTTTAAAAATGATCTCATCCATATTTTTTATACTGTGTACTTGAACTCAATAGGCTCTTTAGAATTTTGTCAATTTCAGACTCAACAATTACAGCACAAAGATTGATCATGGTTGTGCTCTATGTTACTCAAATGACTACAAACATTCAGTTTATCAAAACAGTTGACTAAACAAATCTGATTGGATACCTTGACAAAAGTAATGTAAACCATAAAACGTTCAATGTTGTTCCTGTATGTTTGTTTTGTGTACATTTCTTCTTTGACAGGTTTGGCCACCTTAAAGGTTGCAGTGTGTAAGGAGACATTTCTAAACCAAGAAATCCTAGGCCTAACTGAGTAGCACTTAATACAGTTTACTCCTGTGACTTGTCTTAGACAGACAGACCAACCTGATGAAGACAGTCTTGCCTTAGTGAAGAGTTAGCCAATTTCAGTAATGTAACAGTATACCAGTTGGTGAAATGGTTGTTTTTGAATAACAGAACAGTAAATTGCAACCCACCGTGACTGAAATCGGAACTGACACCCCATCTAATATTCTAACTGGGTGTTGTTGCCAATGTATCTAGGTGATTTGGAAGACAATGAATGAAGCCAGTTTGCCAGAATGGCTGAATAACAAGAAGACTGATTTGGATCTGGCAGTTTCTCTTAGGGTGTATGTTTCTAGGTAAACTCTTTTAGTCAGCTCTTGCTGTACTACTCACCAAGTTGGTCAACTTGCCATACTAATGTTGACCGACAAGCAACTCGGTGGGATGTAGGCCTAGAAGTAGCAATATACTGGGAAAGAAAGATCGGACATCTTTTAAATGGAATTTCATCTTAATCTGTGGAGATCTTATGTTAACAAAAAAAGAGATTTGGGCTGCCTGTCTAAATGCAGCCATATCATACTCTGTTTGCAGATAGAATCACAGATCAGGAGACACTAGTGGTTAAAATAAATGTAGCTAGCTTTGTTTATATGCACCTGTAGTGGGAATGTAGACCACCCCTTAGTTATTTTTGTGTATATATATATATGAGTTGTCCTGGTTTTGTGGATTATTGAAGTACTCTGAAATAGTTGTCAGACTTGTATAACCGATGGAAGTCTATGGTAGAACTTCCCCTTATTCCCCGTCACCCTTCAGCAGACTCAGGAGACCTGCGTACCTATAAGGAGCGAGAGGCTTGTCTTTGTCAAGTGTCTTGAGTGCATGGGCGTGCAGTAGCTGTGCAATAAAGTCCAACAGCCAGCCTGCCCCATTCCACAGTAAAGGCTCCAAGTAGAGGCTCCGGCAGTTGGTTACGTTGAGGATGAGTAGTTCTGCAGAAGTCAGTGGACAGTAGAGCCTGGACTTGTTTGCAGCGAGAGGTATGCTTACAGAGCCACTGAAAAGGTAAGTGTTCCTGTTAATGATTTGTTTAAATGCCAAACATTACTGCTCTACCTTCCTCTGTCACCTGACGTGATGTGACAATACAGGGGTTCTGGCATCACACTTCTGAAAAATGGAATCACAGTGCAGTACTTGTTCCTCCCTCTGTATGTGAACGTGTGGCAATGTGTGTTTTAGCGTGTGCAGTATCTGGTATTTTTCCTTCCATTTCTGACTGAAGCTGGTCTCTGTATGAAACAAACTGTATATAGACTGCTGTGTCACTGGCTCAATAATTAGTGTATGATGGCGTATACCCGCAACTCGACTTTGGTTCAGTTCAATCATCACAACTCCTTTTGCAGATACTCTTTCAAGCTGTAACGACAAATGCAATGGCCTCACGTATTGCCGGGGGGGGGGGGGGCTTTGTTGGCAAACGTTTTTTGACATTGAATTACTTTATTCCTTGGCACTGTAGAAGGGACTTGTAACCAATTGGTAGTCACAAGAATTCCCTTTTGGTTGTTGGTGGGGGTGCTTAATTGTTGATCATGACCTATTTCATGAAGTAATAGAGGAAGCAATTTGTGAAGCTTGTCCATTTGTCCAATGTTTGCCTAATATTAGAACATAATTTACTTTGCCTATATTGCCAACCTTCATACAGTAGCCTAAATCATGTAGACCTAGGCCAAAATGTTGCAGGTAAGGTGTATCGTAGTACTGGAGCACAGGACTCTAACTGAAGTTGGACTAGTTATTTGCAATACAGAAATGGTAGCTTTGACGCATACAATATTCAGAGCTTGACATTGGTTGGGTTTTTTTGTCTGGGGAAATGAGAATCATCATGGTGACCAATTGTTCATTTGGACTTGACGTGCTCTAAGTGGACTGGCTTTTTTGGGAGTCTACAATGCAACACTAGCAAGTGATATTTGTCCAGTCGATTCAATATTACGGCAAAGGTAAAACTCTAAGGACCCCTAACGAGTAATTGTCAGACTTGCCTTGTCCGAATACCCATACTAGCGTACTACATAAACTGCATACGATGTACTCCTCGTCGCATACTATTTAGCATGTACCGTTTAGTAAAAAGTATGCAGTATGCCAGGGCCGCAACGCAGTAGTGGCTCCTGACTGGCTGAGTAGGTGGGGCGGGGCCGAGTGCTGGTTGATTTTTCCAGCCTGATAATAGCTCATATTCGATACATTTCTCTAAACTCTGAATAGAGTAGGAATGGAGTTATATGCCTACTCAGGATGGTTATAGGCAGACTATCACATTCAACCTATACCGTAGCACATTTTATCCTATTTTTAAAAAGGTCAAACAGAATTTGGTTCCATTTCAACATATTTATTAATGAAACCAAAATGCTGTAACATATACTGAACAAAAATATAAACAACAATTTAAATGATTTTACTGAGTTACAGTTCATATAAGGAAATCAGTCAGTTGAAATAAATTCATTAGGTGCTAATCTATGGATAGATTCATAGACCCACCCACTGGGGAGCCAGGCCCTGCCAATCACAATTAGTTTTTCCCCCACAAAAGGGGTCCTGGGCTGTCGTGGTGGTTACACATGGTCTGCGATTGTGAGGCTGGTTGGACGTACTGCCAAATTCTCTAAAACGACGTTGGAGGCAACTTATGGTAGAGAAATTAACATTCAATTCTCTAGCAACAGCTCTGGTGGACATTCCTGCAGTCAACATGCCAATTGCACACTCCCTCAACACTTGGGACATCTGTGGCATTGTGTTGTGTGATAAAACTGCACATTATAGTGGCCTTATACTGTCCCCAGATCATGCTGTTTAATCAGCTTGTTGATATGCCACACCTGTCAGGTGGATGGTTTATCTTGGCAAAGGAGAAATTCTCTCTAACAGGGATGTAAACAAATTTGTGCACAAAATTTGAGAGAAATAAGCTTTTTGTGCGTCTGTAACATTTCTGGAATCTTTTATTTCAGCTCATGAAACATGGGACCAACACTTTACATGTTGCGTTTATATTTTTGTTCAGTGTGTGTGTTTATATAAATTAAATCTAATAGCCTAGTGTACACACACCAGCTTTTCAAATGTTCAAATCAGAAGGCTATTGCACACAAAAACGTGGACTACAAAAACTATTTTGCCTACATTTTAACATTGCTAAATATTCCCAATTTAAGTAGCCTAGTTTTGTTTGGATACTTAGAGAACTAGGGCTTATCACTCGCAGTCCACCTGTTCCAATGCATTGTGGAAGTGTGCAATTCATTCTACTAGATGAAGAGCAGAAATGAGTATAACATCCTGGCATTTAAACCATACTCTATTTTCGAAAATTCACATGCTATAACACATTCTATTTCTGCGTACTTATAATGCGCCATGCGAGATTGCGTTTCCTGCTATTTGTTGATTTCGGTAGCGCATCTCCATATCTAATTGATCAGCTGTTGTCAAAGCCAAAATGAGTATGACACTCGGCATTTAAAGTATGCTAGATTTTTTATTTTGTTTTTTATGTTGCTTACTATTAAACTTTATTTTTTTGCGTACTCAAGCTGCCTACTATTTAGGACGAAAGTATAGATATTCGGAAACGGCCACTGCATTCTCAATGCAGAAATACTGGGGATCAGTG